TGCGTCTTTCATCGAGGTAAATCACCTGCAATTGTTAATACGCATTTAACTGATCAGCTCTTAATTAGAAGTTCAATTAGATAAAATACTAACAGTTATTTGGAAAATGTGAACAGAATTCAGAGATGATTTGTACGGAATCTAAATCTTTGGCAATACGATTTGACTGGATATGGCCTTTCATCGACACTGTATGTACTCCAACTCAAAGCTTAATCTCCGTTCAGATCACCCCTCATGAATAACTAGCCAAAAATCGCTCGTTCGGAAAATTTGTCGTAGTGCGCAATGCAACGCATAATACATTTACTTTACAGTACATGATGTATTCAACGCTTTGACATGCGCACTCATTAAGTTTCACACAAGATGTTAGTCAATTGCAGGACGAAATAAGAATTATTCGAAATCCTCATTTTCTAGTGGGAGGATTCTGTGAAATTACGCAGACAAATGCAATTGTTCATCTAAAAATCGTCTCAATTTCTATGCTACACAAACACCACGAACAAAATCAAGTCACACGAGCGATCTTTCCTCCTCTCCAATTATCACTGTGCAGTTGCCCTCACCGCTTTAAAACGTGCCAACACAATTCTGGCAAAAATACAAGCTAGAGTTGGCAAATGATTTAATAATTAGTCGTTGCAGCATGACGATTTTATTTACTTACTATAAATAGGGAAAAACTTGCTATAATAGGATCGTTTAGTGAAGATTTTCACTCAATGGTGTATATTTATGTATTCAATGCACTGGGATTGTAATGTAATGTGATCGTTCAGAGTGCGTGTTCTGATACGAAACGATGATCAGTGATATGCAACTGGGAGTGATGGCGAATGCGCTCGGTGTTGCGATGCTATTACTTGTGGTTTTATTTCACTACATCACAGCGAACAAACGGGCTCGCAGATGACTAAATTCTATCGTCAGTTATAATCCTCCTCATGTCAGAGGTAAGAAGAAAGATTCATTTCTACAACAAATCATAAATTTATCAATCGAATCAACTGACACTCAGTGGTTGATTACCTACATTCAGATCACTCTTGTTCGAGTAATATTGAACTTTCAGGCGGTATTATATAAGTTTCATCACCTTTCTGTATTGCAGGAATACGAACAAAAACCAGCTATGCAATAACATTAATTGATCATGCAACTCGTCATCAATGCCTTATAACAGACTACTTTATTTGAAATTAATCCATTGTAATTTCATGTTTTCAGATGTCATTAACATTATCTGTTCATACAAATGCTTTTTAACGACACTCGCTGTCATGATTCTCTTCGAGATGCAATGCTTATCAAAAATACTGCTTATGTTACAAAAACTTTTCTCAAAATAAAATAAGATGAACAATGATCCATTCAAAATGTTTTATAAAGAACAAACAAGGTGACATGCAGATACAAATGCAACAGAAGAACAGACAGTTCCTCAATAAAACTCTTCGAGTTCGCGACGCTAGTTGATAGGGAGTAGAGAAAAGGCTTCTGCAAGATACTGAAAGAATTGGGCAAGAACATTGTAGATTTCATTAATAAATCGCTAAGCAACGAACTGTAATAAACTGATCTCTAAATGTAGGTAGGAACTTGAGACGCTTGCTATCAACGGACATCAGATAGACATGAAATTAAGAAAATTTCAGCGAAAGAAACCCCAGAACATTCACCAAACGCCCCGTTCAAATCATAAGTGTCATATGTGCGAACACCTTAAATAGCTTCGGAAATGAAAAGATGGAGGATCGGAAGATAAATGGAACCTGAAAATGTCCATACAACCATTCGTGTTCAAGAGGCTTAATATTTGATAAGTGTCGCAATGAGACAGTTGATGTCTCCCGATGAATTGCTTCGTAATATAACGAAGTGACGTGATGTTCAGTTGAGCACATTCGGATAGCAGCATTCAGTAGTTCATGGCGCACAGTCTACTCTCAATCAGCAACACTTCTGACGACATCATTTTCGTTTTTCAGAATTTTACAAACACTTTAAAAAATTTTTGCTTTGCACTAACCATATAACGCTTGAGGAATGAGTCAAAAGCAATGCGACAGAAAGAGCAATGAAAATTTTCAACTCATTTACGCTAGCTGCGGAGTAGTTACAAAATTTACAAGTTGATAAGTGTAATCGCATCACAACGAATGATCAATGAAATTGGGAATTACTTTTAAATTAAAACAATGTGCACGCGATTTGTTCACAGCAGATAAGTATTAATATGTACAGAACAATTTCAATGATAACAAAGTATTATCAGTAATTGTTAAAAGTATGCACATTCGTGTGAATATATAACACACTGAAATACAGATTCGATACATAAATGGATATTGATAATTCCCAGTGTAACTGTTGTGAAGAATGATTTATGATATGCGCACAGGGTTCGTGCTTTTAAATAAACCAAAACAGCGAAAATATTGAAAGAACACGAAAGATAGTAAGAAATGGTAGCAATAGAAGGGATACTTCACAAAATATATACATAGCAGATTCAGATCAGCAACGAGAAACGGATAATAATAATGACAGTATAATATAGAATTAAGATGACATTGTCTGAAGCGGAAGAGGAATAAATTCGTTTGTGGATGTTGAAATGTAAATGTAAAACGAGCAATACAAATGATGACTCGACTAGGAAATGTCTTCTGAATGAAAACTATCAAACCGAATTTAGATCAAAGAGCGTTTTATTTGGAATTTGATTAGTTTCAAAGAAAGTTTAAATGATGAATGTAAATAAAGAAGTAAATGACAATTACAGAATGACACAACATCTACAAATGGCATTTCGTACGGGCTGTGCGGAGACGGGTGGAGTTGCAGGTGCGAAATAGGCATGAACATCGACGTTCGGTTTGAATATCTGTAATAACGATCGATTATGAAAGTTGATAATTGGATGCTCAGAATATAACAGGATGATACCTTAAAACGTTTGATAGCGTCCTTGGTGATGTTCTGACAATCGTACAAATCGATACGCTGAATTGAGCTCAACTGTCGCATATAGTCAAGACTGGTGTCGGTGAGCTGAGGACAGTTGTCCAATTCAAGCACCATCAAACTTCCTCTAAGATTGTGATTCATACACAACTGACGCAGCCCCGAATCGGTTATTAGTTCACAGTGTGACAGACTCTTAATGTGCTCTTCATTATTATCGTACATGGTTGAGAGGTGACATTCAAATATAATACCAACCAAATTGATAAGAAGTTGACACTGTTTACTCAAATTCTCGAGAGTTGTGTCAGTGATCAATGAACAATCTTCTAGATCCATACGTTCCAAACGATGACACGCCTTCGTTAAAACCGCGAATCCTTGATCTGTCAGTAACGAACAGCCAGCCAACTCAACATCTCTACATTCAACATCATCATACATGTACAACAACAAAGAAGAGTAATCAAAATGAACGAACCTGAGCAAAGGACATCCGTTCGAGAGAGCGACCAGCGCACGGTCAGTAATCTGCGANGTAACGAACAGCCAGCCAACTCAACATCTCTACATTCAACATCATCATACACGTACAACAACAAAGAAGAATAATCAAAATGAACGAACCTGAGCAAAGGACATCCGTTCGAAAGAGCGACCAGCGCACGGTCAGTAATCTGCGAGCACATTGACAAGCAAAGGTACTCGAGATTGCAACAACCCGCCGCGATATCTGCACATGTCTCGTCAACTACGAAACAACCGAGCAAATTCAGTCGTCTCAGCTGTGAACAGTATTCATGCATCTCGTGGAATACATTCTCACTGATCTGAAATAAACTTCGTTACATCAAATAATAAATTCACCAGTCATAACTTGACAACATGAACACAAACCCCTTCACAGCCACGACAAATCAGTGTTTTCAACTTGGAACATCCTTTTAATATCCAGTGAACACCACCATCATGTACATTATCACACCAACTTATGTTCAAATATTCTAGACTTTTACATCCTTCACTGAAATGTTTGCATGCTGATAATCATAAACACTGAATATAATGCACAAAAAGCAATAATCACCTTATAGCTTTGAGGGATTTATCAGTGATAGCAGTGCAATTCTCCAGATCAAGCCATAACATACGATGACAATTACGACCAAGGTAATCACATGTTCTGCAATTAACTGCTGATGTGATAAGCATTAGAGAGGAACAACGAGATAAAAGCAATAACAAGATGAACTCACGAATCAGTGACCCGTTTGCATTTATACAAAGACAACTGCTCGATATTGGGACATTTGACGGTAAACGATCTGAGTGCACTCTCTTGCACATTCTCACACCCCTTCAGACTCAACTTCTTCAAAAAACCACCACAACGCTTGGCCAGATTCTCTACCACTGGAGTCTGACGAAGAGCATCATTAAAACCGTTGATTTATATTTC